TTTATTGTGGAAATATTTTTATTTTTTAGTTATTTTGTTCATAATATTTATATTACTAGGAGCAAGTTTTATTTACAAATAGGTAATATAAACTTAAATTAAAGGTAAATGCATGTATTTCAATAAAAAACTTAAATATTAAAACTATTAAGTACTTAAAAGACACTAATAAACACTTTCCAAAATATTACTTAGTTCCATGGAAAGGTGTTTAAAAATAATAATAAACACGTAAATTTTAGAATGAATATCTTTTGATTAATTGCACTGATTTGTGATTTAATTAGGACTTTAAAGGTATGTTTCATGAAAAGAAATGTTGTTTTTCTTTGACATGAAGACTGTTTTTGTCTAAAACATATCAACATAATATCACGCTTCTTATTTTCATCCTACTATCCTATTAATTGATATTATAAAAGTAACAGATTCATAATCCGTTGCTTAGTTTTAAAGATCTAAGCATACATAGGGACAGACAGACGGCGGATAGCGACTTTGTTTTATACTATGTAGTGACACGATCCTTGCATGAGTTGTACGATTATTAATTTGCATTCCCAGAAAATTCGTCAGACGGGTACACACCCTTAAAGGCACAGTAACAACGTTCAAGAAACAAAAATTGATGTCTATAGATACTTATATAGCCTTAGACCGGCCAAAAAGGATTCTGATCCTCTAATACAGACTCATTGAACAACATCGGACGAGGTAAACAAGAAAATCGCGTTAGTATCAACGTTGCCAATATGATCCTTTGTCTCAGAGTCCTAAGTAAACAAAATATTATATTACTCCTTCGTTGGTTGAGTAGCTGTAAAAAAGGATGGCTAGCTATAGGTTCAGGTTTGATTATTGTTGTTGGGATTTTAATTTATCAAAATCAGTATATATATTTATATAATAATATGCATGTATTGAGACAGGTGTGAGGATAACCTCAACAATAATCAATCAGTCTCCCATGAGCGGGTGGCAGAGACTATAGAACGCCAATAGGGTAGTTTCCTAAATTTTATTTTAATGTCCGTCTGGTACATTAATTTAAAACTTTAGACACGTATTTTTTCTTTTCTCTCAAAAATTAAATACTTTCGACGATATGTATATTAATTTGAAATATCGTGTGACGTCACAGTGTGCCACATTTTGTAGCACGTTATGACGGAACAACCTCCCACTCCTAAACTTAGCGCCATTTTATATTAGTACTGCAACTTAATACGAGAAAATAAAAAATACGTGTCTAATATTTTTTCATTATCCAAGTGACGGACTAATTAGATTTTTAATTTTGATACCCTGGAAACTTCCCAAATTGCTACTATTCTTACGTACCTCAAACAGTCATCAGTCCTTTTATGCATATTTATTTTATTTAAATTTACCCCACAATAGTATTTTCTATTATGTAATGGGTAACAGAAACGGGTTGAAGATTGTACTTCAAAAGGTACATTCATTATTTTGGTATTCGGGTTATTCACGTAATAGAGTAGATGACTAATTTTTATTTTAATGTCCGTCTGGTAGATTATTTAAAAACATTACACACGTATTTTTTATTTTTTTACAGACCCGAATACTTTCGAAGATATATTGATTTAAAATGTCGCGTGACGTCACTTCTATGTCCATTTTATACGTAGAAATGACGTTTTACTCCCCACTCCTAAACTTTGATTCGTTATATCTAAGTACCAATTTAAAACAAAAAAAAAATACGTGTCTAATATTTTTTCATTACTCAACTGACGGACTAATTACATTTTTAATTTTCATACCCTGTCGTCATCCCTATTATTTGACGAGGAACTCGACTAGTTTAAAAACATGCTAGAGGCTATAATATCCATGAACAGAATTCCACGACCCGTGACACGGCGACTGTCGTGCTGCCGCTAACTCTTCATCAAATAATTACTTGATTAATCCGAAAAACACAATAGGTAGGTAATTAACTCGTCGAGTACCGTCAATATAGACCGCTTGGTGTTTGACAGTTTAATTTTGTATGTCTCACAACAGTTATAATATTAAAAAGGTACATGTTTAATTGAGCTCGTGTCCGGTATCTGTCCAATTTGTAGTATATTATATACTAGCTGTTGTTAGCGTCTTCGTATATGATTCCTGTTTTATTTTACGGGAGCATTTAATCAGGATAAAAGGTATCACTTAAGTCAACTCATACCCCGCCTGTATGCCAAAATTACATCAAAATCCGTTCAGTAGTTTCAGCGTGACGAACGAATAAACATCCAAACAATGAACAATCACATTTACAATATTAGTGCTGATCACCGATGGCTAAATACCACCAGAAGCAAATTGGGGCTATTTTGTTATTACGTAATATTCCATAATGAACTGGCCACCATGAAACCTGATGGTCCAATCAAATCCTTGTATCATTTGCATTTAGATTAGGGTATGGGGCATTTCCATACTCCAGCCATTGGACCACACCATTGATTGTTTTAACCATGAACGCCATAAAGTTTAATGGGGATTAACTTTATGTGATTAAATGTTACTAAAAGGACTTTTTGAGTTCGATTTTCAGGTCTGGTGTATAATAAGAAGACGATCAGATTTTTTTTTAAGAGGGGAAAGTCATCGAGTGGCTGCTCCCGCCTGGGTGAGGTGGGAGGGAGTGTCAGACTCTTACTGACTAAGAAACACCCCGTTCATTCTCCTGCGCTTCGAGCCGGAGCCCCGGTTACCCATTAGGTTCTCTGCGACTCCGAAAGACGGTCAGAATAGGACTCATATATAGATAACTAGCAAAGATATGAAAAGAATGTAAGTAAACTTTGGCTCTGCCTACGGTGGAAATTATCGTTTTGTTCCCTTTCCTCTTATAATATCTTCACTTTATTGCAGGAACCAAGATATTCATGTCCATGAGACGCGATGGACTTCAGTGTTCCGTTGTTTTCATGGTTGTATCTACTATAGATCAGGATCATATATAGTAGATAGATACAGGGCGTATAGGAGTTATAGCGGTTTGAGGAGGTTGTGGCGGGCTTGCCCCATAAAAAAATGACTCTGCCTACGATGACTAAAAGGCGCAGTAAAGACACAGAAATTTGGAACCTTTGCAAAATCATACTAACATTACTTTGCTCACTGCTTTGCTTCTGCATCTGAGCTAGTATAGGAATAGCGTTCCTTGCTTCCTACAAATACTTTACATCTTAATCATTTTAAACAGCTGAGGAGTAGGTTTGTTTGTTCGATCGCGCTAATCTCAGGAACCACGGGTCCGATTTGAAAATTTTCTTTTGTGTTGGATAGCCCATTTTTTTTAAAAAAGGCTGTAGGCTATATATAAAAGCTAACATAGCGTTTAAAAATGTTATTTAAGACCCCAATATTACACATGTTTACAATTCAATTGTCAAACACCGCGAGGACACCGGTGACCGCAACCTATTGTTCTTTAATTGTGTCTATAATGACGTTACTCAAAGGGGTAATTAAATGAATTTGAATTTGCTATCAAACAACACACTACAATTAAAAAGGCACCGCAGGAAAGAAGCTAGTTTCACGAACATTGCTCATTTAACTCGTCGAGTACCGGTTTTGTAGACACAATTATAGAACAATAGGTTGCGGTCACCGGTGACCGCTTGGTGTTTGACAGTTTAATAGTAAACGATGCAATACATAATCCAAATCGCGAGCTACGACGAAATTTTGTGAAACAAATACACATCAGAGTAAACTCCGTATAATTCAGAGTCTTGTACTAATTATCTGCAACTGAGAATAGACTAACAAACCACGCTATCCCAAATTCACTCCTATAACGAAAGACATAACGTCTAAAATGTAACTGATAACAATACCACGCTATTTCCTACGGGAAATTTATATCAGACGCCTGATGGCGTGTTTTAAATGCAAAAGAATATGAATAAATGCGATCCTTTATGCATTCGTGAATAGAATGAGCTTACATAGATGGAATTCGTTTTACTTTAGTTGTAGGGGCCATTAAAATAGGTTTGTAAATAGTCTAGCAACTAAACTTTAAGAGGGGGAGAGCCATGCTTCGGCACGAATGGGCCGGCTCGACCGGAGTGATACCACTGCCTCAAAACCGACGTGAAACAACGCTTACGTTGTGCTTCGCCGTATAAGTGACGATACCGGAGGCCCATTTAACCCCCCCCCCCCCACAATCCTCAAATTCCAAATCCCCAAAAGGCTGGTAACGCAACGCAACCAACCAGCCCGGTGTCCTCTACATAAGAGGTTTTTTCATAAAGACCATATTTAGGGGTCAAGCTGGAGCTGAACTGTGATAGTTTACTTATAAAATGTCCAGGTTTATTATAATAATAATAATAATAATAATAATATTTATTCAGAAAGGTGGTTACAGTTTACTGTTTCACATTATGACTTATACTTATAACAGTTATTCTACAACTGACAGAACGAGCATCCGCGACCGAACTAGGCGTGAGCCTGTATCTCGGCACGCGGCGCCCAATTCCCGCCTTAATAAATAGCCAAAAAAAGTAATTACAATAACAAACGTTTAAGAGTATCACAAAGACCAGTTAAAAATAAAATTACATACCACATTAAAAAGATAGAGAAGGAAAAGTAAGGTATAACTATCACCAATATATAGGAATTAGATAAAACCATGAACATTTCTATGACAAGGAGGTTTTGATAATGTACTATGAGTTCGTATGCTTTCGAAGTTGGTTCATCAGTCATATTTTGTTTTAAACATTTTATTTTTTTGTAATACTGTCTTGTACTGAATAAATGTTTTTCTCTCTTTCTATCTTTCTTCATTTTACTTCAGGACGAAAATGAAATAGATTACACTATGTTCTGTTAATTTGATCGCTCACTTAGCTCACTTTATAACAATAAATATGACGCCCCATTCTCAAAACCAAAGAGGTACCCTTACACTATCTCAATACCTCCTAAATTAATGTAGAAAGGTATAAAGAACTCACCAGTATCATCCATATGGGTTTCAATATCGGAGTTCTGGACAGTCCATTTGTTTGTATGTCTGGGGTCTGTGATCCTCAGCTGCAGAGACTCGGAGAAGTTGGAGTGGAATATCAGCACCACTCGCGCTTTACCATGTTGGGCCTCATTCATTGCTATCTCTTTGGTTGGGTATGATATCTGGAGGAAGAAGATGGTGAATTTATTATGGGACCTCATGATTTTGTAAGAGTCAAGATCTTTTAGTAGAATTTTGAAATTAGGTTCTTATTGACCATAGTTAAGAAACTGTTGCATTCATAGTGATGTTAAAGACAAATGATTATAATACCAAGCCAGCATAATGGAGGACCATTTACACAATCGCTCTAGATAATACTTATTATGTACAATAGAAATCAAAACAAAATAAAATAAAAACATCTAATACTTTACTCAAGATAATCTCAGTAAGAAAAGGAAGAAAAGAATGCCTCGTTGGCCGAGTGGTCACAAGTGCGACTGCTGGGCAAGGGGTCTCGGGTTGTGAATTTATTTCTGCAAATAGGCTACAAGGTAGCACTTTTACACGTCAATTTAATCAAGCGAACGATGAGTTCAATTCCCGGGTCGGGTAAAGTATTACTGGGTTTAAAAAAAAAACTCAGTAGTAGCACGGAGTCTGGAATTGTACACAGTATATGACAATAGGCTTACCCATAATATAAATAGTGAAAAGTGGGTGTTACATTGTACAGTGGCATTAATTGCCGTAATGTGCAATTCTACACACACCTACCCCATCGGGGATAAACAGCGTGATGTTATGTTACGTTTAAAACCCAGTAAATACAACCCTATTACTAACTTTGTTAAGAAAAAATAACAATCACTTACCAAATTAGATTGTCTCTTCGACAAAAAGTCCAAATATTCACAACTAAATCTCGTTAGATTCCATTCGTACGTATTAGGATCTTGAGGACACACGTTTTTATTATAGTCGCAGAGAGGTTCCGTGGAGTTAACTTCATAGTTCACCACAGCTATCGGCAAGCCGACAGGGTAGTGACCAATAGCGACACAGAAGAATATCATTTGAGAGACTGGGAGACCGAGGAGGAACGCCAGGGCGCTGGAAAAGAAAAATATTTATGATAAGCTTAATTAAATATGATGTAAAAATGCCTTATTAAAATCAGTTTAGACATTTTATTCATGTTTATTTATTGCAATTAATATTCATTACTGAAAAATTATAACCAAAAACATAGAAACATTTTATTTTCAGCATGTAATTAAAAAGGTTTAAAAAGTTTTACTGTCCATTTGTGACTGAGGCATCTTGGTTCATTAAAAATGTATCAAGAATATCTATTAAACCAGATAATAATTAAAAAGAAACAAGAAGATAACACTAAGCGCCGGTTTCACCACCTCTATATAAGTATCTGTTAAACTTATGGGACAGATAGTTCGTACAAATTACGTTCTTAATTCAAATTTATCTGGTAAATAACGGGTATCCCGATACTGTGAACCAGGCCCTTAATGTAAATAAAACCTTTTCGTCTAAACTTACCCAAAATTCCTAAACAAACTTAAGAAATTCTTCCATATCAAGGCTTTCATGTGATGCCATTTCATGGGCATGTACATTTCCATACTCCTTCTCGGTTTTTCTTCTGGAGGCATGGCTTCTATGGGGTTAATCAGCTCCGGAGTCACCACCACTCGACCCTTACTGCTCATGGACACGTTGTCACCGAATTCTCCAGATATTTCACCAATTTCTGCTTCTTCCAAGTCTACTGCTGCTGGATTCTGTAATTTATTCACTATCGGTTAGTTCTTTTTAGTTTTCACTAGGGAAGCCCAGAAGCTTCTCACAAAATATAATAATAAGTAATGTAAATAACAAACATGTGTGGGAGACCCATGCTTCGGCACGAATTGGCCGGATCGACCGAAGTACCACAGCCTCAAAGAAAACCGACGGGAAACAACGCTTACGTTGTGTTTCGTCATGTGGGTGAGGTTATCGGAGGCCTAATTACCCTCTTCCCTTCCCCAATCCCTGCATCCTCAACAATCCGCAAATTTATGACCCCAAAAGGCCAGTAACACATTTGCAACGCCTCTGGTGTTCCAGGTGTCCATAGGCGACGCCGATTGCTAATCACCAGGTGATCTGTCTGCGCGTTTGCCCGCTCACACCATAAAAAATCCTCAACATTCCTAAAATTCTTAATCCCCAAAAGGCCGATAACGCACTTGCAACGCCTCTGGTGCTCCAGGGGTCCATGGGCGACGCCGATTGCTAATCACCAGGTGATCCGTCTGCGTGTTTATCAGCTTATCGCATAAAAACACATGGCTTCACCCACATACTCTGTTCTTAAATGAAGCAAAATGATGCTAGGTAGTCTAAACTGTCTTCAAAACTGATAGTGACTTATGCAAATATTTATTAAATTAATGAAAATTATTTATAGCAGAAGACTACTTACTGGTATTGCGGGAAGTTCAACCCTTTCCACCACATCAGCGAGGATGCTGGATCTCCTCCTCTTGCCCAAGTTCTGTAGTACTGACAACTTCAAGAACACATCTTCTAAACTCTCGCCTTGGTATCGGCGGATTAGTTCCGTTGGTGATTCTTCTGCCAAGAATCTACCACCTCGCATGAGTCCGATCTAGAAGAGAAAAAACATAATTTGAGCAAAAGGAAACTTAGAGGAGGTTAAATTTAATATTTTTTTTCTAAATACGTAGATTTTAATTAAGATCTTTACCATACGTCTCATAAAATAAATTCATGATTAGCAAAAATCTATTCATCTATTTTACTCGAGGACTTAGTAATAAATGTCAATTTTTATAGTTGGAATTCAAAGAGTGTCGTTTTAGTCTAATTGAAATAAATAATTTAACTTTTTCCGTTGCGCTAGGTAAAAATAAACTGAAAAATTTATCTCCTATTATCACGATTCACGAGACAAGTGAAATGACAAAATGAAACAACTAGCAAATACTCACAATATCAGCCTGCTTAGTCTCATCAATATAATGAGTCGTGATGATGACAGTAGTTCGACCACCTTTAGTGATGTCCACCAAGTGGTCCCAAATGCTGAAAAACACGATCAAAAATTCCATAAAACTGCACTTCATCATTTTAGATACTAGTTTGGCTAACCAAAATAGTTAGTGGTCTCCGAAATTAACTCGTCGAGCACCGTTATTATAGACACAATTAAAGAACAATAGGTTGCGGTCACCGGTGACCGCTTGGTGTTTGACAGTTTAATTAAAACTCAGTGTTGCTAAACTTTTGATCCATCTAGTCAATTAACAGTTTGTCAACATTTTGAGAGCGAAGCAAAGGTATTTTTGAGTTTGCAGTTATAAATAAAATAACTAATTCAGTAAATAAAATATTCTCTATATTTTTAGGTGTAATGAACTTCGACGTCAATTTTTACGAGGAATTCACTCAGGGTTAAAACGAACTAAATATTCTTTTAATAGTAATATTAGTGTATTACTAAAATTTAATAGTAATATTGTGTCGACCAATGGGTTAATTCCTAACAGACTCGACAACCATCATAGGAGGCTGACGTTAGGCGGATGGGTCAAGGGCGTGATACAGGTGGCAGTTCTCCTTAAAACGGCGCGCATCGTGAGATTTCTGTCTTTGGAGACCTAACCAACGGTAGGTTGAACCATGCTCTTCCATGGAATATTAATTTTAAATTAATATTGATGCTAATTATTTTTTGGGATGATAGTGCTATAAAAATCGCAGTGTTATTTTGACGACATGAGTGCTTGGTCAAATTTTTTGTTGCCTTAAAATTGTTTTTCGTCGTTCTGCCAATGTAAATACCCTACAACTATGGTACTTTGTTAGTCCAATACACTATAATTTTCTATAAGATTGAAGCCATGGCCAAAGAACCATCTTATTTGATGCCCACAACGAAGATTTTTGTTTAACCATAAAGAACAGAGGCAGAACTTCATACTTAAAATTGTCTGATCATGATATTATGTGTTCAGTTACCTAGCAACACGTAACTTAATACTAAAAACAGTTTCGAACCTTTGTCGTAAAACAGGATCGACTCCAACAGTCGGTTCATCCAGGATCAGGAGCTCAGGGTCGTGTATCAGCGCTGCAGCCAACGATGTCCTCCTTTGCTGACCTCCGGATAAGTTTTTCACTTGTCTATAATTGGAAAAGCAATAATGTAAGAAATCAATAATTTAGAACGTGAATAAGATGAGATTATTTGTGGGATAGCCATTCTTTTGAGGGGTTACCGGAGGCACAATTGTCCCCCCCTCCCCGATCTCCCCAATCTCAATCTGAATACCTAACAATCCTCAAACTCCTAATCCCCAAAAGGCCGGTAACGCACTTGTAACGCCTTTGGTGTTCCGGGTGTCTATGGGCGACGCCGATTGCTTACCATCAGGTGATCCGTCTGCTCGTTTACCGGCTTAAGCCATAAAAACAGATGAAATAAATGTAAAAGTTAAGATAACAATCTAGGAGTTTTTTATTTTTATTTTTTATAATAATTAGTTCTTCTGAAGGTTGAGGAAAATGCATTTAGGTAATAATTTTTGAGACCAACAAAACTTGGTTATATCTCTCGATTTTCACCTGGTTTTGTGCAATTTTTAGATGTCCAGCTGATTACTTATATTAATCATGGGGGGGGCCATCTCCCTAGAAATTACAAGGCAATGGGACTAACGTTATTTGCAAATGTATTACGGGGTTTTTTGTTCAATCACAGCAGCCGTCAGATATTGAATGTCCTATAATGTGACACTGGTTAATTCCTTATTGGACGAAGAACGAATAATATCCTACATGGTCCGCAGCGCACTTCTTATACCAGTGTACTTAGGCTACAATGCCCGCTTGCCTCACCAGCGCCAATAGTAAAAACCAAGTACCTGGTGGGGTTAGGCAGCTGAAGTAACTGGATCAAGAAATCAATTCTCTCCTCCACCTCCTTATTCGGCATGTTGGCTATCCATCCGAAGTAAATCAGGGTCTCCCTAATGGAAAACTCGCCAAATAAGGCAATTTCCTGCAACAAATTATTTGTTATTATAACTTTTGCGATACTCATCCTTTGTTTCTTTGTATTCCTTATACGGATATTTGCTAAAACTAATGTTTCTTTAACTTAATGATAGCTATATTTTCCGGCTTTGCAAATTCTTCGTTTTTCCGGGTTTGGGTGTGATGTGTATCTACATGAAGTGAATTCTATGAGATGGAACAAACTACTAGTATCTATGATATAAGTAACATTAAAAAAGTACCTAAAGATATAGATAAAGATATGTTTACTTCTAAGTATATGGTACACTGAGATCTTAAACTAAATTATGGAATCACATATACTACCATTTCTGGTGTAGAAATTTTAAACAAGTTAAGTCCATGCCAATCATAATTCTCATTTGATACAATTATCTTAATTAATTTAAATTCATTGAAAAAGAATGCATGTTTTGTCCAAATTATTATGTCAAAAATAAGTACAGATAATACCAAAATACACAAAAAAATTACAATGTCAAGAAGGTTGATTTAAAAATTCATTAACGGAATAAAAACACATGTCCAATAGCCAAGTAAACATTTTACATTTAAATTTATTAATTGGTAACATTCTTAATGCAGGTGGTAATTTATTATAAATTTTTATTGTCATGCAACTGGCATTTCTGCTATGCAGTTGCAATCTTTGAGGAGGCACAAATAAATAACACACCATTACATGATAGGTAGGACAGGGAAAGTAGAATACATTTGTCATCAACGTTACTGCTCTCCCGAGTGTCATTCGTGTTAAATAAGAGACAACAGATTTAACAAAGAGAAAGAGACAAAGATGCGAACTGATACATGTAGATTGTATTGTTTTTATATTGATCAGTAACATCATAACATAACATCACGCCTTTTATACCTGAAGGGGTAGGCAGAGCACATTACTTACGGCACTTAATGCCACTGTGCAAACACCCACTTTTCAATATTTATGTTATGAGTCCCATGTAATAGGGAGTGAGCTTATGGTCATATACCGGGTATAATTCCAGACTCATTGCTACTACTGATTTTTTTTTAAATCCCAGTCATACTTTACCCGACCCGGAAATCGAACCCGAGACCGGCAGTCGCACTTGCGATAACGAGGCAATGGTCAGTCAGTAACAAATAAGAATAAAGTTATCAATCTTCTAGCTATTTCTTAGCCAAGGCTAGATTTTTAGTTCCTCTACCAACTTATACATCGTGTTTACTTCAACATACTCACATATTTACTAAGGAAACATCCTGTGTATAGCCTTCGCGCATGTCTGGATAAAGATTACAATGCCATAGTGTGACCCTATAAATATTTGTAGAAGACATACTTGGTAGACAATTATAGACCTTAATGATATAATGAAGTAAGGTTGTCTTCAAAGCAAAGTGATTAACTTAAATTCTGTTGACTTGTGTTGTCACAACCTTTATAAGGATATTCTTTACCGACGACAGAGGTTTAGCGATTTGCAAAAATGGTAAGGATTTAATGTAATGGGATATATTAATAGTCATTGCAAGAAGATATCCTTACGTTATGAGTCCCATGGGTGAGCCTATTGCCATATACCGGGCTCCGGCTCGACGTGCAGGAGAAGGAACGGGGTGGTTTTTAGTCAGTAAGAGTCTAACACTCCCTCCCGCTTCACCCAGGCGGGAGCAGTCATTTTATTATACTCACAAATTATGAAATGAATAGTCCGCTCGTATTTTTTTATTGAAGTGGTAATCAAAATTTGCAAATAGTTTTAAGTCGTCTTTTGCTAGTGTGTTTTAATTTACAATTAGTATCTCTATTGCCATTTTAGTGTTTATAGTTTTATATTTGTGAAATAGTGGTATGAAATATATGAATAATGTGCTAATGGACTGCTGTCTGCAGATTAAGAAAAACATGCAAGTACAAACTCGTGAGACTTATTTATATCTTGCATTATTTGTAGCATCACTCGTTTGGTTAAAGGAAAAATGAAGCCTATGTATATGACTTTAAAGCTTATATATCTCCAGGCACAAAAATCATCATATCTTTTTTTATTATTTACTTATCGTATTTACAATAAGTACAGGATTATCCATTTAAAATAGCAACCAAAATCCACTAAGGTTTAAACTTGTGCTATCATCAATCAATCTCGAAATCGAATTAAACGAAAATCTAACACGATAGACAACCAAACAATCACACCCTTGCATTTATTGTGTATTATTACGAAGGATAAGTAACAAAATTCAGAAAAGAGAACAGTTATTGCAGTGGAAGGGCAACGGGCAGCCGCACAACGTATTCGATTCTCGTTTAGATCAACTCTTTGTGTGATCCACAAATTTTTGTTCTGGGTCTAATGTGTATGTGAACTTGTATGATTGTAAACGCACCCACAACACATCAGTGTAAAAATTCTAAAAATAAAAATAAAATAGTCAAAAATGCAATACGATATGTAAGACATCCAAGTATTCTCCTACTATACAGTTATTCACTAATGTATAATTCCTAACAAGTCCTTCAGAAACCTAGCACTTGACCTTTGAAACTCAATATACGCAACTTGATATATTACAGCCCTAGCGAACTAAAGTACTAAGCAGATTTATATGAAAAACTTTCTCAAACTAGGCCCCACTTACGAACATCTGACTTCTTTAGAAAACTTCTGATAGAATATATAAGACCACACTTATTGTTTGTGACTTACCCACTAATATCTAGGCAATATCTTCCTTAACTATCAAAACCAAAAGGTCCTAACAACCTTAATAATGTTAAAGGAAAATCCACCTTATTTGTAAGTCGGTAAGGTTAGTTAAATTTGACATATGAGATGAATTATGTAGATCAGTGAAGCGGTATTTATGTATCGCTAGTTTTGCCTGCTACGTTATAGACGCCTAAGGATCGCCTCGAGAGGAATATTAATTTCCCTTGTATGAAGACTTCGGTCTAGTCGAAAATTCAATGGTAATTCATCATTATCAACAACCCATATTAGACCACTTTTTAAGGTGGCAATATCATCGAATGACTTCTCCCGCCTGGGTGAGGCGGGAGGGAGTGTCAGGCTCTTACTGACTAAAAACCACCCCGTAGTGCCCCGTACCTACTCCTGCTCTTCGAGCTGGCGCCCCGGCAACTCGTTAATTCCTTCGCGGCTCCATATTGGCATCAGCCATAGATATAACAAAGTAAATATTTTTAATATTTCTGTGGCATCAGCCCTATTGCGCCCCATTCATGGTGGTCTGATGGCTCTTTGAGGCGCGCGCTCTAGAAAATACATTGTATCTTACAAGACAGGTTGAATGAGCAGTCACTAAGTAGCCTTTTACGATACCCGAATTCCCAACGATCCTCAAACTCTTAATCCCCAAAAGGCCGGTAACGCACTTGTAACGCCTCTGGTGTTCCAGGTGTCCATGGGCTACGCCGATTGCTTACCATCAGGTGATCCGTCTGCTCGTTTACCGGCTTAAGTTATAAAAAAACCTACTCTCAGCTACGATACCTGATATTAGTTTAGCTTTAACATCAGCAGCAATACAGTTATTCTAATATAGAAAAATATGTTATAACCAACCTGAGGCATATACCCAATCCTAGGACCAGGTACTCCGCTTCCAGGACTGCCTGGTTTTCCACCTAGCACCCAGATTTCACCAGAGTTCAGTCTTCGTCTGCCCACTATACAGGATAGTAAGGTGGTCTTTCCACACCCTGATGCTCCGAGAAGACCATATCTGGAAAACAAAAGACGAGGGTCTTTATTTCTCAAGGTGCCTTTACAAAATCACTCAAAGGGGATGACAGCTTCTCTTCTCTTCCGTACAGTACCGTAAATAATTATATTACTGTAAATATGCCACTATGTACAATTTCAATCACTGTGCTTTACAGAACATTATCAAAGACTAATGTCTTGGTTAATATTATAATTTGATCAACCTAGCAGTTAAACTGATGGTCCTTTGATCAGCACTGCAGTCACACTTACAAACTTACTCAACAAACAAGACGATATGAAATATCCATTTTTTTTAAACGGACGGAGAAAATCCTAGTGTGGGCCAACCACTAGGATTTTTCTCCTGTGTCGTGGGTGCGTTTACAAACATACAAGTTCACATACACATCACACCCAGACCCGAAACAACAATCTGTGGATCACACAAAGAGTTGCTCCGTGCGGGAATCGAACCCGCGATACGTTGCGCGGCAGCCAGTGGCCCAACCACCGAACCAACCGTGCAGTCAAGTCAGTCAAATTAAATTATTAAAAAAGTAATGAATAAAAATGAAACTTTATTGGAAGCAACGTAAAGTTTTATTCGCTTTGCCTTCGATAAAATTGTGTAGAACCAAAGTTGAAATGTAGTGAATACAAAAATAGCAAAACTTGGACGGCGCAAACCGACACAAGAATATCGGTTCCTGCATATAAAACTTTGTTGAAGTTTGGCGTACCACTTTATTTTTGAAAGATTGTTCTGCTTTGAAAAATATGATTCTTTGTCAATGATTTATTTCAATTTGACTGCCTCATTGGCCGGGCAAGGGGTCTCGGGTTCGATTCCCGGTTCGGGCATCATCATAACATCGCGCCTTTTATCCCCGAAGTATCCCCGGGTAGGCAGAGGTGCACATTATGCCACTGTAGGTACAATGTAACATCCACTTTTCACTATTTATGTTATGAATCCCATGTAATAGGGGGTGAGCCTATTGCCATATACCGGGCACAATTCCGGACTCCGTGCTACTACTGCGAATTTTTAAAAAACTCAGTAATACTTTGCCCGACCCGGGAATCGAACCCGAGACCCCTTGTCCGGCAGTCGCACTTGCGACAACTCGGCTAACGAGGCAGTCTTAAAAAAATCTAGTCAAAAAACTTTAGTTTTATAAGATTTTAAGTCTCGGTATACAGACTGAAAATGAAACCGTTAAGTTTTACGTCATTTTAGTAAAATTATTCCAAAATTTATCAACACCATATTCGCTAAGATTACTTTGGCCGTTAATCAAATTGGAAACTTTTGGATTTCATTTAACGAAATATTATTTTCTTGAAATATTTTCGCCAATTCTTCTAAAGTTGAAAAAGTTTAGAGTCTTTTTAAAACACAAAATTACTGTTTGTTCTTTTTATTCTTTTTTTTAAAAAACGTTGCCCCACACTAGGATTTTCTCCTGTGTCGTGGGTGCGTTTACAAACATACAAGTTCACATACACATGACACTCAGACCCGAAACAACAATTAGTGGATCACACAAAGTTGTTTCGTGCGGGAATCGAACCCGCGATACGTTACACGGCAGCCGGTTTCCCAGCCACCGCACTAACCGTGTGTTAAAGCTGTCTCGTCAGCATTTTTCGCAATTGAATCGAATATCTGACCTTTAAAGAAGAATTCCATTACTTACATGGATCCCTTAGGAACTGTCATATTCAGACCATCTAGAATAATATTAGGATTCTTCTGTGTTCCATATCTCTTGTGAGCCCTTCTGACGCACACCGCCTGCTGTTTTCTAGAAAGAAAGATGACTTCATTAACATTTTTGAGGCTAAACAAGTTTATGAAAGTAGAAAACATTGGTAATTTAGGAAATGTAGATTTCCTTTTAGTCTATTTCTGTATTATTAGGTATTCTCAATCCATTGCAAGGGCCATACTTAAGACACCTATTATGTAGGTATCATGGATGCGTCTGAGCCATATTTTTTTTAGTTTAACTCGGCTGATTTTATATAACATCGTTATTGCTCAGTCACGCAACAATTGCTTCACGTCAGTTTTCTGTGAGGTCGTTGTATCACTCCGGTCGAGCCGGCCCATTCGTGCCGAAGCATGGCTCTCCCACACTTAATTTAAAGCATATCAATCGAGTCCCATTCCAAATTCCCTACAAAACAAGACTAAAAATGTTAACCTTGTTAACAATCTCTACTGAAGAATTGACAAAAGATATATGATATTTTTTGTACTTAGTAGGCATATATGTTGCTATATTTATTTTAAATATGTTATACAGTATTTATAATTACTACTAGTTATTAGTTATCAGCCCGTCCCGGTTTCACACGGGTTAGACAATTATTTATTTTTGGAAATTTGGATTGTTGTAGTGACATAACTATAATAGTTGGACATATGCTACCGCGGAGTTTTTTGTAGACATTATGATGTTCTTCAATATTGTTGTACATTATTTTGTTCTATCGCTAATAGTTTCGGCAGCGCATTCGACAAAAGATATTTTAAGACTCATTTTTCTACACCTTCAGTTACATTGTTCAAATTTTATCAAGGATCCCTAATTTTTTTCAAAATGAAATGTAGCTATGTCAAATTGGAAGAATGTAGCATTCTATCGGTGAAAGAATTTTTTAAATCGGCCTTGTACTTTTTGAGCCTATTCATTAACAAACATACAAAAATAGGTACAAATCTTTCCTCTTTATAATATTAGTATACCTAGATATAGACAGTATAGATTACACAAGCCTATTTTCGCTAATTCTCTATTTAACCCAAAGGTTGACTGAGAGAAAATATCATATGGCACTAAATACGCTTTAATATGTACCTTATTTTTATATGCATTAAAGAGTTAATAAATAAATGACTTACCTAGAAGCAACTGTGGACTTCTGTGTCTTGAACATCTTATGTCTTCTGGCAATGAGCTCCTCTTCAATGGTGCTGATAGTGATGGGCTGTTCTGGAGGCCTGACATCCTCCATGGATATCGTCGCCCCCTCATTGTCATACGCTGGCATTTTTTAATCTGCAACAAGATGATAGATTGGTTAATCAGAGTCAAATAAAGGACTAACAACTGCCTTGTTGGTTGATGTTTTAAATGTGATCATCAGTTGGAGAAAATCTCCAACTCAAGATCCATAGTTCAGTACATAGTATATAATAGGTCCGTACTCCAACAGTGGACTGTATATGGGCTGTAATATAGCTCGTATACAGTCCACTATATTATATATATGACGATTTTTTTTACTAAATTATATTTGACGGGCCGACGTTTGACCACTATCTCGCCTGGTGATAAGCGATGATGCGACTTATGAAGGAGCACGTCGTCTCATAAGCAACCTATTCACTTGAGCCTTGAAGACAAGACAGAAATAAAGACTCTCGCAAAGAATTTCGTTCCTTAGCAGTTCGCAGAAGCGAAGAAGTGTAGAAGTGAACTTCTTGCGGCTGTTACAATGACAATGGAAGAAGTTATAAATATCTACTTATATGTACTTCCTCATCTATCTATCTTTAGGCATCTTATATTCACACGATTACTTAAAACTGAAATTAAGTCCTATTGTAACTTAAATACTAATATAATTAAAGCGACTACCGGGCAAGGGGTCTCGGGTTCGATTCCCGGGTCGGGCAAAGTATTACTGGGTTTTTTAAAAAAATTCTCAGTAGTAGCACGGAGTCTGGAAATGTGCCCGGTATATGGCAATAGGCTCACCTTCTATTACATGGGACTCATAAAATAAATAGTGAAAAGTGAGGTGTTACATTGTACAGTGGCATAATGTGCACCTCTGCCTACCCCATCGAGGATAAAAGGCGTAATGTTATGTAATATTTAACTCGTCGAGTACCGGTTTTGTAGACACAATTATAGAACAATAGGTTGCGGTCACCGGTGACCGCTTGGTGTTTGACAGTTTAAGCTAGCAAAAATAATTTGTTTTAATTTAATACAGGACTAACGTCAACCTACAATTATTAAATTATTATTAGACGTCTAGTCTAGACTTAATTGCAAACAAAATACAAAGAAATAAAATAAACAAAATTCACAAACCAAACTTTGTATGCAAATAAGTTGTCATAATTATTTTTATAATTCTAAATTCATAGGTATTCAGGTACTAATATTTAAACAATAGATTTCTATTATTATTGTAATGAAAATATTCTGAATTCTAAATGTTATGATAATATTTATCCATAGCTAGGTATGCTAACATGAAAATTAATATTTATTTATCAAAATGTAATTTCAAAACTTGTAATGAAAATGTAAGTTTTTATAAATTTAAAAGTCTTTTGTATAACTTTAATATGCAATTTTGAGCCCTATGTCCACCGCAATTTGTACGCCTCCGCGCGTATCATAGCGCTCTGTTTTATATATTTAAAATACCTATATCTGTATGCACCTATCTTAACTGGCATTCTTTTCCAAACGTTTTTGATTTAAGGGGAAAAATCATCCAATGACTTCCCTCGCCCGGGTGAGGCGAGAGGGAGTGTCAGACTCTTACTAACTAAAAACCACCCCGTTCCTGCACTTCGAGCCCAAGCCCCGGTAACCCATTAAAACCTTCACGGCTACTTAAGCAGTTGGTAGCTGGTATACCTCTTGCTCGACTGCCGACCCTGCCACCATTCGATCTCAACAATACAGTCTTATAATTACACTACTAGCTTCTCCCACGCGATTTAACCTGCTTTACTCGGCTCATATTGATCGTATCGTGATGTTTTATAGCCTATAGCCTTTCTCAATAAATGCACTATACAACACAAAAATAATTATTCAATTTGAAACAGTAGTTTCGGAGATAAACGCGTTCAAACAAACACTTCAGCTTTATTTAGTAATATAAGATTTATATGACAGTATATTATTTATATTTCCATATCTTTATTTTAAATTCTCTATAAAATACATTTTTAAATACTACTTACAAAAACATAAAAATAATATTTAAAAATATAAAAAATAGGAGCCGACCAGTAGCGGGAGCATGGTCCAAGCTACCGGTGGTTAGGGCTCCAGAGACAGAAACCTCCTCACGATACGTGCCGTTTCAAGGAGAACTGCCTTCTGTATCAGGCCCTTGACCCAACTGCCTAACGCTAGCCTCCTAAGGTGGTTGTCGAGGCTATTAGGGATTAACCCATTGGCCGACACGACTATCGGCACAATGATAGCCGAATCTACATTCCACATGTCGACAACCTCGTGAGCCAAATCAAGATATTTGATTTGTTTATCTTTTTCAGCTTTCACGAGGTTCTCATCATGAGGAATAGTGATATCGATTATCATCGTGCGGCGCAGTTGTCGGTCTATCACCACTATATCAGGTTTGTTGGCTATAATAGTCCTGTCAGTGATGATATTTATATTTATTATTACATTATTCAAGTTAGTAGCTACTCAGAAATACTAAAAAAAACAATAATAGATATTACAGTCCATAGTCATCATTTTTATTACATTCCATAATGGCTGTCATGTCATAAGTCAATTACGGGGCAATCATTCCGATAACTGATGACATACGTACACACGGAATCATTATAGGTAATATGAAAATGATAGCACTTAGGTTGTTGTTAGATAAATTCTTCTAAGTAAGTATAAGTAAAACTAAGTTCTGCTTTCGACTTCGTTCGTACGCGCGATCCCGTTTTCTCCCGTTCCCGTAGGATTTTCAGGGTTTTTTTTAAGTCATAAGAACCTTCTCCTAATAATAACAAATACAAAAAAAGAATTAGTGAAATCGGTCCAGCCATTCACGCGTAATGCTATGACCAAGGGAAAAAGGGATTCATTTTATATAGGTACTAGCGGACCCGACAGACGTTGTCCTGCATATCCACTACAAATTCATTCAAATTAGTTCAGCCGTTTAGGATAACTAACCTAGCCACCGACTGCATCTGCCGGAACACACACAAAAAATTTCATTAAAATCGGTCTAGTCGTTTGAAAGAAGTTCAGTGACATACACACTCACAGAAGAATTAAATACATAAAGATAGGTATATATTATAGATGTACAAATGTCTACCTTTAATGAGTATCTACTAAGAAGGTGTGGTTAGGGAATGGAATATCATCATTTAGTTTTAATACTGCTAAACAAATCTAGTACCTTTCTATCTATTTCTTATCCCCTTGACAGGCTGTTTTGGGATCGTAGTAGCTACTCACCATTCGTCGGTTTGCCGTTGCCGTAGTTTTAAAATAAGGCAGTTGATCAAAGACACAGACAAAAATACTACTCTTAAACCTATTTTTCACAACGCACCATAATGCCGAATTAATGCAATCAGTAAATGACGATAGGCAAGCATTCGTCTGTCGTGGTGGCCCGGAGGTTTAAGACGCCGGCTTCTCATGCATGAGGATGCAGGTTACTTACCAATGCCAAGTACCAATGTGACTTTTCCGAGTTATATGTACTTTCTAAGATTATCTAGACACCACTGACAAATGGTAAAGGAAAACATTGTGAGGAAATCGCCAACCCGCATTGAGCAAGCGTGGTGATTAATGCTCAAACCTTTTACGTGGGAGAAGTGGCCATTGCTTAGCAGTAGCCACTTATAGGCTGATGATGATGATGATGAGCATTTGTCTGGTAAATTGGCGAAACCGTACGCATGAAGTGCAGTTTACGTTTTTTTTATGTAATAAAACAAATAAATTAAGGTTAAATTATGGTCTTAATTGCCTCTCTCGTATGCTCAGGTTCGATAATGACAAATCGTCGAGTACCGTCATTATAGAACAATAGGTTGCGGTCACCGGTGACCGCTTGGTGTTTGACAGTTTAAATAGAGAATATATTAAGTTAGCCTTAAGATTACGCTCTGGACACTTTCCATCAGCAAAGTTTGGTTATCTTATGGGAGAAGTCGCATCACTTTATTGTTTATCTTGCAACAAAATTGAAGATATACCTCACTTGCTGATGGAATGTGTCAGAAACAAGAATGAGAGAGAATCATTAATTGAAGAGTTAAAATTAAATTTTTTTAGATGTTGGGTTAGTACAGACGGTTTTGGCAAGTCCTAAATCCAAGTTAGCAGTAAAATTAAGTAGATTAGCAAAAATACCTAATGATGATTCTCGCTCGATAAATTAATTTAGGTATATTATTACTTAAGGTATTGTGATTAATACGAAGAGGGTACGATGGAGTTGGCGTATCCACGTGGATAAAAACCCCCAAATAAATAAATAGAAATAAAAAAATGGTCTTAATTTTGTGTTGATATAAAATGAACAAAGGCCATTTGTTTATCCTACCAAATACACCGGCAAAATAACCATAGTAATTGACAAATTACGAAGGTAACCGATACGGAAACATCTTGCTATGTATATTTTAGAAAAACTACTATTAACATACAAATATAGTAACGTAAAAACATGTCTATATTTCCTGAACTTTATGATTAAAAAAAAAAGTTGCTTTGCATATTCTATCCACTAAGAATTTAGTAGGTAACTATAATTTGTTTGTTGAAACTTATTAAGCTGTAAGAACGGTTGATAGCATAGTGAATGAATTGAGTGGCTACTGCGCAACATCCCGGCGGTTCCTTTCAGTGTAAGTTTAAAGTAATAATACGTCACCCATATAATTTATTTATCTTTTTATAATAAAATAACTATCGTGAGACATACTAAATTAACTAAAAACGGCGGATTACGTGTGGGCGTCAGGTACGTGCGCGGTTGCGGCGATGTCAGTATGCTGCGCGACATCGCCACGACCGCGCACGCTGCTCATGAGGAAGAACCCCTCTGTGGTTCGAAATTAGTAGAGCTTTCTAAATATATATTCACGTGCGTAACTCGCGCTTTTTAGTTAATTTATTTATTGTTTTGTATTTGCATCATCATGAGAACATTTTGGAGATGTACAGCATATAGTAAATAAGAAGTAAAAAACATGAATTCAAGTTTTTAATAAAGGTATCTACCGATTTAGAAATGCATACTCAATATACCA